GTCATCAGAGGGATAGGAATCTTGATCTGGAGCAGTGGTTACTCAGCTGAACCTCAGGGGACCCTGGCTCATATCTTGCCCCAGGGCCTGGTATGTTCAAAGCTTGCCCTCTTCCCCCGTTCTCCACGGGGGGGGGGGGCTCCTCTTCCTTCTCTTCCCTACTCTATCCAAAACTTTAAAAACTATGTTCGCTAGAGATGAAGTTTAATAGTGGCCATCTTGGCAAGTGCAAGGTGCTCACTCCTAGTGGCCATCTCTCCCTGAGGATCTTTAGAGATGTCTCTAATTTCAGGATTAGAACAAAAAACCAGCTTGTGGATTGTCCAATATCCTGTGTCTGGTGGGCGGCCAGAATAACATCTGTTATTGCTTTTCTTCTGGAAGCGGGAGAGCTGCAAACACAACAGAAAGCCATCCTGATATTGAGCTGTTGTGTAGGTTGGATGAGAAGAGGGAAGAGGTTACAATCCTGAGTACACAACCAAACTCCATGAGATCAAAGCCAACCGTTGGCCTTCATCCAGAGTTATGAATGTTCTCTTCTACTGGTCAGCTATGAGGTTTGGATTCCTTTGAAAACAGTGGAGATACAAAGAACATTTGCTGTTCTAAACTAACCGTAACTGCAGCAGGAGTATAAATATGTACGTAGACGCGTAGTCTAGACAGATCTCAGGAGCGACATAACAAGCCATTTTTTTTTATGGTGGATTAACGTTTTTTGGACACTTGCTGACAATATACAAACAGGTTTGCTGGCACTTCGTCTGTTGGCTCTTAGAATGATCGGATTTGGACTCTTCGTAGTGGTCTTCCTCAGCTGTAGCCTAGGCTCTTTTATGCTGTGTTGTGCCTTAGGAGATGGCCTTCTGCTAACCCTTGATCTCTGAGCTTCTGGGAACTTCCCTTGAGCCGTTCACCTCTGACCTCTCTCATTAATCTCATTTTCACCCACAGAGGTGCCCCATCTGGATGTTTTTGGCTGTTTGCCCCCATTCTCTGTAAACTCCGGAGACCATAGTACAGTATGTGAAGCATCTCAAGGACTGACTTCTTTGGATGTTCAATCACCAAGTCTATCATGATCGAAGTCACATGGACTAGGCCTCCTCGCCACTTTAGCATTTGCCCAGGTGGACCTCTTTACCACGTCTGTGTGCTGCGTTGTAGTCACATCATTTATTGGGTGGCCATTTGTGTCAGCATTGCAGGTGTAATATATCTGTAGGCCTGGGACTGAAATCTATAAACGACTCTCCTTCCAAAGAGGTAGGCGTGTAGGAGGGGCTTTGTTGTTTGCTTGCTTTGGCACCAGGAGAACAAGTCCCTACTCCTGCTCCAGCCCTTCTAAAACAGTCCCTCCTGCTGAGGCCAACTCCTCCGCCATCTTGTGCCCTGATCCTTGCCATAGGCCTCCACACAACATTCCCAGCCTTAGACCTTTATATCCCAAGGAAGGAATGTCCATACAAGAAAAAGCTTTACTGGTGGTAGTCAGGAAACCACATTACAGTGACATCACAAGGACATACATTCCGGAGTCCATCACATATAGTGGACAGTCTACAGTATTCACAAGTGAAAGCAGAAGCAGTGCTTCAGCAGCCATCTCCCTACAGTCTCTCCTCTGCCCAAGGTAATCCGTACTCTCAGGACTGTGCTCTGTGTAATCACCTACTTGTAGGTACATCTCTCCCGGGAACCCTCCAGGGAAGTGGCCTCACACGGGGATCTCCAGCCTGGCCTAAGGACCCTATTCAAGGAGTCCTGACCCTCACCTCCATAAGGGACAGAATGTCTACAACTGGCTCCTCCTGCGTTCAGGTCCACTCCACCCGGCCTCCTGCCCTGTCCAGGGCCTACATGTGCTGGCTACATCTTTCTAGGTGTGGGGTGTTTAGCTCCCATGCCACGTGTGTGTGTGTGTGCTTCTCCCCACCTATCCTATGTGTGGTGCTGACTCACCCATGACACCCTGTGGGAGAGCTAAAAGGAGACGAACACTTGGTGTCACTACCTGCTGTACCAGACACTGCTCAGATACAACGCCACCTAGTGGTGAAGTACCTAGCTGCACCTGCCTACAGGCAGTGCCAGAAGTCAAGTGGTTAAAGCAGGGGTCGCCAAACCTTCTAAACAAAGGGTCAGTTTGTTATCCTTCAGACTTCAGAAGGGCCAGAGGAATAGTGCCCCATCATTGGTGTCAGTGGGAGTTATAGTGCCCCATCATTGGTGTCAGTGAGAGGAATAGTGCCCCATCATTGGGGTCAGTGGGAGGAATAGTGCCCCATCATTGGGGTCAGTGGGAGGAATGGTGCCCCATCATTGGTGTCAGTGGGAGGAATGGTGCCCCATCCTCAGTGTCAGTGGGAGGAATAGTGCCCCATCATTGGTGTCAGTGGGAGGAATAGTGCCCCATCATTGGTGTCAGTGGGAGGAATAGTGCCCCATCATCGGTGTCAGTAGGAGGAATAGTGCCCCATCATTGGTGTCAGTGGGAGGAATAGTGCCCCATCATTGGTGTCAGTGGGAGGAATAGTGCCCCATCATTGGTATCAGTGGGAGGAATAGTGTCCCATCATTGGTGTCAGTGGGGGAGGAATAGTGCCCCATCATTGGTGTCAGTGGGGGAGGAATAGTGCCCCATCATTGGTGTCAGTGGGAGGAATAGTGCCCCATCATTGGTGTCAGCGGGAGGAATAGTGCCCCATCATTAGTGTCAGTGGGAGGAATAGTGCCCCATCATTGGTGTCAGTGGGAGGAATAGTGCCCCATCATTGGTGTCAGTGGGAGGAGTAGTGCCCCATCATTGGTATCAGTGGGAGGAATAGTGTCCCATCATTAGTGTCAGTGGGAGGAATAGTGCCCCATCATTGGTGTCAGTGGGAGGAATAGTGCCCCATCATTGGTGTCAGTGGGAGGAATAGTGCCCCATCATTGGTGTCAGTGGGAGGAATAGTGCCCCATCATTGGTGTCAGTGGGAGGAATAGTGCCCCATCATTGGTGTCAGTGGGAGGAATAGTGCCCCATCATTGGTGTCAGTGGGAGGAATAGTGCCCCATCATTGGTGTCAGTGGGAGGAATAGTGTCCCATCATTGGTGTCAGTGGGAGGAATAGTGCCCCATCATTGGTGTCAGTGGGAGGAATAGTGCCCCATCATTGGTGTCAGTGGGAGGAATAGTGCCCCATCATCGGTATCAGTGGGAGGAATAGTGCCCCATCATTGGTGTCAGTGGGAGGAGTAGTGCCCCATCATTGGTGTCAGTGGGAGGAATAGTGCCCCATCATTGGTGTCAGTGGGAGGAATAGTGCCCCATCATTGGTGTCAGTGGGAGGAATAGTGCCCCATCATCGGTATCAGTGGGAGGAATAGTGCCCCATCATCGGTGTCAGTGGGAGGAATAGTGCCCCATCATTGGTGTCAGTGGGAGGAATAGTGCCCCATCATCGGTGTCAGTGGGAGGAATAGTGCCCCATCATCGGTGTCAGTGGGAGGAATAGTGCCCCATCATCGGTGTCAGTGGGAGGAATAGTGCCCCATCATTGGTGTCAGTGGGAGGAATAGTGCCCCATCATTGGTGTCAGTGGGAGGAATAGTGCCCCATCATTGGTGTCAGTGGGAGGAATAGTGCCCCATCATCGGTGTCAGTGGGAGGAATAGTGCCCCATCATCGGTGTCAGTGGGAGGAATAGTGCCCCATCATCGGTGTCAGTGGGAGGAATAGTGCCCCATCATCGGTGTCAGTGGGAGGAATAGTGCCCCATCATTGGTGTCAGTGGGAGGAATAGTGCCCCATCATTGGTGTCAGTGGGAGGAATAGTGCCCCATCATCGGTGTCAGTGGGAGGAATAGTGCCCCATCATTGGTGTCAGTGGGAGGAATAGTACCCGAAGGGCCACAGTTTGGAGACCACTGGGTAAAGTGTATCCCAAGCCAAGGTTTATATAGGAAACCCAGAATTTCTGGAATATATAATCTGTCATTTAGTATATAGTAATACTCGGCTCTCCCTTATAGTAATCCAGAAGCGATGACCTGACATCACTTCCTGTTTACTCGGAAACTTCTGGCGCCATTTTTAAAAATCTGATCTTGGTGTTTTGAATGCTGTTCGGTGCAGAGGAGAGAGATTTGGGGTCTTCTAGAGCCCCAGATCCCTCTCTAAAGAGTACCTGTCGCTGCCCATTGCTGTCACGGGGGATGTTTCCTTGCCTTGTGACAGCAATAAAAGTAAGAAAAAAACCTGTAAAGTGCCCCCGTGCGCATGCGTAAAGGCGAATGAACATGTCTGTCCCGCAATCATGCAAACCGCAATTGTCCCACACGTGAGGTATCGCTGCGAATGTCAGATCATGGGCAGTAATTCTAGCACCGCACCTCCTCTGTATATCTAAAGTGGTCACCTGTAAAGGCTTTTAAAGTGCCGTCGTTGCGTTTTAAAAAGTGTCGCCGATTTAAAGTGTTGTAGTTTGCCGCCGTTGCACGGGCATTTGTGGTTGTAAAGTGTGGCATATTTGGCATCTAATTACTCGGCGTAACTCCATCTTTTATATTTTACAAAAATTTGGGTTATGTATTGTGTTTTTTTTTTTGGGGGGGGGGGGAGTTTTTGTTTTTTTTTTTTATTTTGTTTTTTTTTTTTTTTTTTGGCACTAGAATTCAAAAAAGTGTATTTTTTCCCAAAAAATTGTATTTGAAAAACCGCTGCACAAATACCATGTGACATAAAATAGAATATGCAAAAATCGCCATATGTATTCTCTAGGGCCTCTGCTTTGAAAAAATATGTTTGGGGGAGTTCTAAGACCTTTTTTAGTAAAACAAATAAAATAAAATTATAATACTCATTTTTAAAATGAAAACAAAAAGTGCCAGAAATGGCTTTGGGGCCACAAATTGGCCGTTTTTGGCATCTTTTGTGATGTCCGAGTACAAGACGATAGAATCTGAAGCCGTCCCATGATGATGAACGTTCCATCACTGTTGTTTTGTTTCAGTACCATATCAACAAACTCTCCATGATGTCTTCAGAGAACCATTACAACAACAGCGATAAGGAAGTCGATGAGGTTGACGCAGCTCTGTCCGACCTGGAGATCACTCTGGAAGGAGGGAAGACTTCCACCATCTTGGTAAGCGGTTCTTCTACATTTTGACCTCCTGTATGTTGTTATGACCCAAGTGACAGAAAGGTCTACACTCCAGTGAGGGAATTAGAAAGGTCTACACTCCAGTGAGGGAATTAGAAAGGTCTACACTCCAGTGAGGGAATTAAAGGTCTACACTCCAGTGAGGGAATTAAAGGTCTACACTCCAGTGAGGGAATTAAAGGTCTACACTCCAGTGAGGGAATTAGAAAGGTCTACACTCCAGTGAGGGAATTAGAAAGGTCTACACTCCAGTGAGGGAATTAGAAAGGTCTACACTCCAGTGAGGGAATTGGAAAGGTCTACACTCCAGTGAGGGAATTGGAAAGGTCTACACTCCAGTGAGGGAATTGGAAAGGTCTACACTCCAGTGAGGGAATTGGAAAGGTCTACACTCCAGTGAGGGAATTGGAAAGGTCTACACTCCAGTGAGGGAATTGGAAAGGTCTACACTCCAGTGAGGGAATTGGAAAGGTCTACACTCCAGTGAGGGAATTGGAAAGGTCTACACTCCAGTGAGGGAATTGGAAAGGTCTACACTCTCAGTGAGGGAATTGGAAAGGTCTACACTCCAGTGAGGGAATTTAGAAGTAAGTTTGTGGATCGGGACCACAAGTGCGGCCCAGTCCCATCTGAGGTCACAAGATAAAGATACCGCCAGAACAATGAGTGACGGGATATCTGACCATAGTTACTTCAATGCCAGAACACACCAGAATCCTCGCTCAATGCTACCACCTATCTCGTACTGCCACTGTCTTGCACTTCAGATCCAACTCGATGACTACAGCCATTCTTGACATTTCTAACACATGAGGAAGTCCGTTCCCCTGGGATATGAACCCAGTTATGCAGAACGCCAAGTAGGTGAATATTTGAGAATTTTACCCTAGCTGGGGAAAGCTTCATTCCCGTCTGCGTCCCACTGAGGAGATTTCTCTTCACTTACGATCTCTGAGACCCAACAGAATGTCTCACCAAAGTGAGGGGAAAATACCCTTTTAGTTGCCCCCATTGGAAGATTTCTCCTCATCACATGTCCCATTGACTGTAAAATGTTTGGATTGGGGGAAGATTTGAGGGACAGGCAGGCAGTAAGTATTTTAGTAATGTCTTGGTTTCTTTGCAAAGTGTTTTTCCAAGACCCAGCAGAGACGATTCCTGTGCACCACATATGGCCTTCTACCAAGGATTCACGTTCTTCTGCTTCTCTGACTGCACAATCCATCATCTCTTCCCATATATAACAGTCCGTTGTCTTCTATACAGGGTGACATCACCTCCATACCCGGAACTAACAGACAACCTAAAAATATTTAAGTAAGTACAAATATCTCCTGTCTCACGTCCTTGCTTTCAAAGTTCTCATATATTGTGCTGAGAAACTTCAAGCATTTGTATTTGGATTCACGTTCTTCTGCTTTACCCTATGAATTAGGTTTAGTTGGGGGATGGGCGGTAAATAAATAGGGAATCTAGTTCAGTATTTGAACTGACACTGTACAGCGGCTTTTATTGACCTTTTTACCATTGAGAAGTCCTCAAGAGGCTTAAGGAACCTCTACTAATACATATCTACAGTTTGCATTACAGGGCGTAGATAAGGAGGGGGATGGGGGGATCCACCTTTCCCCAGAGCATACATGGCACTGCAGCTAGCACTGACACTGGGTGCACACCCAAAACTCTGCAGCCACGTCTCCTCCCAGAACTCGGAGATGGACAGCGGCAGTTCAGAGAGAGGGAGGCTCTCATTAGTCCCTCATCGGCTCTTGCCAGAACTTGGAGATGGACAGTTCAGAGACTTTGTAGCCCCTCATAGGCTCCAATCACATGATGCAGCCAATGGAGCATTTCCCTTCAATGAGCCCAGTCTGAACTGCCTTGTCTGGTGGGGGGGATTCCATGGAGGAAGCAGCGATGCACTGGGGGGTGGGGGAGAGATTTCTATTGGGGAGCTGTACTGGTGTTAGTGATGGTGGCAGTGCGCCACCTCTAGGTAGGTGCCCAAGACTACCCCCCTTCCCCTCCCAAAAAACAATGATCCACAGCCCTGAGTTCATAGTACAGTAGTATGTAATAATAGAATTAGGCAGATTTAGTAATCATCCAAAGTAGTTTTTTTTTTTTTTTTTTTTTTTTTAACTCCCCCTCCACTAAAGAACTAACTCCTCCTTGCACATACATGTCAGAGTCCTTCAAAAGTTGAGCAGCCCAGGACCCATGCACGGTCTCTGCAGTCATCGATCGAAGAACCCCAACGCTAAAGTTCTGACTCCCCATAAAACTGATTCTAAAACATGTCCGGTTTATCCTTTCCCTTGTTTATTATTTAAAATATTAGGAAAGGAGTTCCTGGGGTCCAAAAGAATACAGTTTTGATGGATTGAGAGGCGTTTCTTGAAAGTAGCGACAAGTGCATCAAGGCAACGCGTTTCGGGAGATAGGCTCTCATTTCTTCAGGGCTGTTGCTGAACGCTATAAATATTTGCGAGAATTCAGACAAAAGACTGAGAGTGTCGGCTATGCTTCCCGGAGCAGCATTCAACAGATGGAGCACGGTCCTACTCTCGATAAACTCCTCCTAATCTACCATGAAAACTGTATTCTTCCTGGACGCTGGGTGCTCCTTCCTGGACGCTGGGCGCTCCTTCCTGGACGCTGGGCGCTCCTTCCTGGACGCTGGGCGCTCCTTCCTGGACGCTGGGCGCTCCTTCCTGGACGCTGGGCGCTCCTTCCTGGACGCTGGGCGCTCCTTCCTGGACGCTGGGCGCTCCTTCCTGGACGCTGGGCGCTCCTTCCTGGACGCTGGGCGCTCCTTCCTGGACGCTGGGCGCTCCTTCCTGGACGCTGGGCGCTCCTTCCTGGACGCTGGGCGCTCCTTCCTGGACGCTGGGCGCTCCTTCCTGGACGCTGGGCGCTCCTTCCTGGACGCTGGGCGCTCCTTCCTGGACGCTGGGCGCTCCTTCCTGGACGCTGGGCGCTCCTTCCTGGACGCTGGGCGCTCCTTCCTGGACGCTGGGCGCTCCTTCCGGGACGCTGGGCGCTCCTTCCGGGACGCTGGGCGCCCCTTCCGGGACGCTGGGCGCCCCTTCCGGGACGCTGGGCGCCCCTTCCGGGACGCTGGGCGCCCCTTCCGGGACGCTGGGTGCTCCATCTCTTCTACTATTCCAAGTCTACATGTGGAAACGACCTTAAGGCCATACCAAGAAGGAAGCAGCCCCCAGCCCTAGGAGGGCTCACCACCATTATCCATCATTGGGCACAACCTACCGGAGGGACATCTCCCTACTCACCCACACAAACATCCACCCATGACCAGCGACTCATTCAGTCAGTCCATTGTGGTCTTCAGCACAAACTTGGGATTATTTTTTGCCCAAGCCAACGAGTGATACCATATTCCCCCTCATCCCCTCCCCCGGTGAAGTGTCCCTCACCCTGGTATGTGGGTCACCCAGCTCTGTACTCGGGAACACATGGGGATTCCTTAATGAAAGGTCAAGGCTGAGCTTATATAGAAATATCAATATTCAGTCTTCCGTTGTTTTATATTCGCTTTACTTCATTCTCTGAGCCTGACATTTCAGCTTGAGTGTCAGGGGTCAGAGGTCAACTGGAGTTACATAGAATGAAAAAAAAAGACACGTCTATCTAGCTCAACCAATAGAAACAAAATCAATAAATAGAAACCTTTCATATGCAGAATCCTCTATACAAGTATAGATATAAAAACCTGACAGGGGGTCTATCCCTTCCCTACTCCCGTCCAAAACCAAGAGAAAAAAGTTTGTCTTTAAATATACTTTAAAAAAGGAAAAGGGGGCCATGTCTTCTAAGGTGTGTTTTTTGTATCGCAGACCGAAGAAGCTGACTCTGAAGGGCTACAAGCAGTACTGGTGCACATTTAAGGACACCTCAATATCTTGTTACAAGAGTAAAGAGGAAGCCAATGGGATGCCGGCTCACCAGATGAACCTGAGGGGTAAGACAGGTTCTCTTCCCGGGAAAAATGGTTTGTTGGTTGTCCTATTCGGGGGGTTCGGATCACTCTGTGTATGTAGATGTGTACAGATCCAATGAAATCCTCTCCATGCAGTCCATGATAAACGGGTCACTCCACCCAAAGCTGAAATTTTCCATTTTTGGTAGATTCTGGAAAGGGACATTTCTTTACCCTTTTTAGGCCCGTGTATATTTTTGCAGTGCTTTAGTGTTATGTCACGCAATAGTGTGCATTGTGCTAAGGCAGCCCATTAAAAAGTATGTGCAGCCACGGCACCAAAAATCAGACGTGGCCCAAAATCTCTAATGCAGTGCACCACAATGCCGCCACTAGGGTTCATTTGGTGTTCGCTGCGATGCTTTTGCATTGCCTTAGCTACCTAGCATCCAACACTTGGCCTGCTAGGTTGGGCTCCTTACAGTAAGCAGAGTGCAGCAGAGTGATCTGCGGTGGCTGGTTGAAGATATCTGTGTGAGGTGGGCTGTGCTGGGATCTGCGGTGGCTGGTTGGAGGTATCTGTGTGAGGTGGGCTGTGCTGGGATCTGCGGTGGCTGGTTGGAGGTATCGGTGTGTGGTGGGCTGTGCTGGGATCTGCAGTGGCTGGTTGGCGGTATCGGTGTGTGGTGGGCTGTGCTGGGATCTGTGGTGGCTGGTTGGAGGTATCGGTGTGCAGTTGTCTGTGCTGGGAACTGCAGTGGCTGGTTGGAAATATTGGTGATCTGTGGTGGCTGGTTGGAGGTATCAATGTGCGGTGGCCTGTGCTGGGATCTGAGGTGGCTGGTTGGAAATATTGGTGATCTGTGGTGGCTGGTTGGAGGTATCGGTGTGTGGTGGGCTATGCTGTGATTTGGAGGTATCGATGTGTAATTGGCTGTGCTGGGATCTGCAGTGGCTTGTTGGAAATATTGATGATCTGTGGTGGCTGGTTGGAGGTATCGATGTGCGGTGGGCTGTGCTGGGATCTGTGGTGGCTAGTTGGAAATATTGGTGATCTGTGGTGGCTGGTTGGAGGTATTGATGTGCGGTGGGCTGTGGTGGCTGGTTGGAGGTATTAGTGGGCTGTGCTGGGATCTGCGGTGGCTGGTTGGAGGTATCAATGTGCGGTGGGCTGTGATGGGATCTGCAGTGGCTGGTTGGAGGTATCAATGTGCGGTGGGCTGTGCTGGGATCTGCAGTGGCTGGTTGGAGGTATGGATATGCGGTGGGCTGTGGTGGCTGGTTGGCGGTATCGATGTGCGGTGGGGCTGTGGTAGCTGGTTGGAGGTATTGGTGGGCTGTGCTGGGATCTGTGGTGGCTTGTTGGCGGTATCAATGCGTGGTGGGCTGTGCTGGGATCTGCAGTGGCTGGTTGGAGGTATCGATGTGCGGTGGGCTGTGCTGGGATCTGTGGTGGCTGGTTGGAGGTATCGATGTGCGGTGGGCTGTGGTGGCTGGTTTGAGGTATTGGTGGGCTGTGCTGGGATCTGTGGTGGCTGGTTGGAGGTATCAGTGTGAGGTTGGCTGTGCTGGGATCTGCCGTGGCTGGTTGGAGGTATCAATGTGTGGTGGTGTGTGCTGGGATCTGTGGTGGCTGGTTGGAGGTATCGATGTGCAGTGGGCTGTGCTGGGATCTGTGGTGGCTGGTTGGAGGTATCGATGTGCGGTGGGCTGTGGTGGCTGGTTTGAGGTATTGGTGGGCTGTGCTGGGATCTGTGGTGGCTGGTTGGAGGTATCAGTGTGAGGTTGGCTGTGCTGGGATCTGTGGTGGCTGGTTGGAGGTATCCATGTGCGGTGGGCTGTGCTGGGATCTGTGGTGGCTGGTTGGAGGTATCGATGTGCGGTGGGCTGTGGTGGCTGGTTTGAGGTATTGGTGGGCTGTGCTGGGATCTGTGGTGGCTGGTTGGAGGGAACAATGTGCGGTGGGCTGTGTTGGGATCTGCAGTGGCTGGTTGGAGGTATCAATGTGTGGTGGGCTGTGCTGGGATCTGCAGTGGCTGGTTGGAGGTATCAATGTGTGGTGGGCTGTGCTGGGATCTGTGGTGGCTGGTTGGCGGTATCGGTGTGTGGTGGGCTGTACTGGGATCTGCGGTGGCTGGTTGGAGGTATCAATGTGCGGTGGGCTGTGCTGGGATCTGGTTGCAGTCAGTGTGTAGGGGATGGGTTCTCATCCTGTGATACGTGATCCATCTGGCCGGGTTCTCCGTGGCGGGGCAGGCTCCAGGCGTCTGTTGAGCGGTGCAGTAAACATGCTGGATGCCAGGTGATGATATCAGAGCGGAGTCATGGCAGACGGAGCCAGGAATGCCTTTTTGGGAAGGCTGACCTGCTCTGTGGATGAAGGAATGCCTCATCGCCGGAGTCATCTGATTGAAGGTTCACCGTGAGACAGGATCTTATTTATAGAACGCCAGCAGTACATTCACCTCTGTCCCTGGACTCGGGAGCTTACAATCTTCCTGCCTCACATACAATTTATACTGCAGACAATTATCCTATCAGCATGTTTTTGGAGTTGGGGAAGACTCCCATACAACATGCAAACTCCATGCATATAGTGACCAGAACGGTGGGACAGGACTCTCACACTGTTATGGAAAGGGTGCCACGTGAAGAGCCACACTGTCCTTGCTGTGAGCATGCTCCAGATCAGTGGCTGGCATCCAGTGGCCCATAGCTTCATGTCTGCTCTGAGCTCCTGTTGTCACCCCATGCTCCAACACGCACATCCCAGCCACCCACAGCCAACACAAGATTTACCAAGTGTGTGCCACTACCTCCCTGCTGTTTTTGGCCATACATGCGCAGTTTATGGAAACCATGGACAGCTGGATCCGGGGGGGATGGGGGCTGAGAGCAGGCACAGGGAGGCCTGCTCATTCTATTTGTTTGCGGGGGGGGGGGGGGGGGGGGGGGGGGGTTGGGGTGCCGCTCTGCATCCTGGAACTGGGGGCTGGACTGAGTATTGGTATCTGCCTGACTCCATGTTGTTGACGTGACAAATAGAAGATAGACTGTGTGGCCGTCATTAGACCCAGCGATGGTCAGCAAGGAAAACATTCCACGATACGACCGTCTCCGCAAAAAACCACAATGGTGGCAAGCCTCCGCAGTTTCTTGTCCCGCTGCCCACGCGTTCGGGAAAATGGCGTTCAGTGTGGAAGACGTAGCCTAGGACTAAATTCTGGGAGAGGCGGAGAGCCGGGACATGGGAGCGGCAGACGCTGCACAGGGAGGCAAGGCAACAAAAATCCTGCCGGTTATGTAAACCTCCATGTCTGCCGCCTTACGGGAATAAAAAGGAAGCTTTCCACATGGTCACAAAATGGGGGAGAGATTTTAAAGTGAATGTCGGTGGGGGGGAGAAAAAACCTGCTCAGTACACTTGTGTAGTGCATGTGCATTTCCACATGTTCGATACAGAACAACCCACATCAAAGAAAAATATATTTGAAATATATTGAATGCGGCCAAAATTGTAGTATTTCAAATATTTACCAATATATTTGGGAAGAATATTTTTAAAATAAGTTTCAATAAAAAAAAAAAATATATATATATATATATATATATATATATATATATATATATATATATATATATATATATATATATATAATTCTTTTTTTTCTTTTATTATGTTGAGTTGAAATGTGTTTTTATTACAAAATTATATATATAAAAAAAAAAATGTTTTTAAATACATTTCAAATATACTGTATGTCCTTTAAAATACAAATATACATTTTTGGAATGCATTTACAAATATATATAAAAAATATGTTAAAATTACTTTTTTTTTATATGTTAAAATTTTTTAAATATATTCTTTAGATTTTTTTAAAGATTTTTAAACATATAAAAAAAGTCATTTAACATATATTTTTAAATGCATTCCATAAATGTATATTTGTATTTTTAAGGACATACAGTATATTTGAAATGTATTTAAAAAATATTTTATGATTGTGTTGTGTATATTGAATGTTACGTTGTATTCTATAACCAGATTGCGTGGAGATAATCATTTGAGACATTTTGTTGTATTGAATCGCTGTGTTTTCATTGGGTAGATGAAATAAGTTACAATGTTCGGTATGTCTGATGCTATTGGATACATTTTATTTTTTACATAATAGCCGATCAATGTCTGAATACACAACACTGCATGAGCGCTAAACCTGGATTTGTGTCTTCCAGGCTGTGAAGTGACCCCCGATGTCAACATTTCCGGACAGAAGTTCATCATTAAGCTCCTCATCCCGGTGGCTGAAGGAATGAATGAAATCTGGCTGCGCTGTGACAATGTAAGACGCCTTCATCTCCTCCTCCTATATACACTATATTGCCCCAAGTATTGGGCGGCCGGCCTTTCCACACACATGACTTTTAATGGCCCCCCAGTCTTAGTCCGTAGGGTTCAATACTGAGTTGGCCCCGCCCTTTCCCCGCACATGACCTTTAATGGCCCCCCCCGTCTTAGTCCGTAGGGTTCAATATTGCGTTGGCCCCGCCCTTTCCACACAAATGACCTTTAATGGCCCCCCAGTCTTAGTCCGTAGGGTACAATATTGAGTTGGCCCCGCCCTTTCCACACACATGAACTTTAATTGCCCCCCAGTCTTAGCCCGTAGGGTTCAATATTGAGTTGGCCCCGCCCTTTGCAGCTATAACAGCTTCAACTCTTCTGGGAAGGCCGTCCACAAGGTTTAGGAGGGTGTCTATGGGAAGGTTGGACCATTCTTCCAGAAGCACATTTGTCAGGTCAGGCACTGATGTCGGGGGAGGAGGCCTGGCTCGCAGTCTCCGCTCTAATTCATCCCAAATGTGTTCTACTGGGTTGAGGTCAGGACTCTGTGCAGGACAGTCAAGTTCCTCCACCCCAAACTGGCTCCTCCATGTCTTTATGGACCTTGCTTTGTACACTGGGGGGCAGTCATGGTGGAACAGGAAGGGGCCATCCCCAAACTCCTCCCACAAAGTTGGGGGCATGAAATTGTCCAAAATGTTGCCTTAAGAGTTCCCTTCACTGGAACTAGGAGGCCAAGCCAACCCTTGAAAAACAACCCCACACTATAATCCCCCCTCCACCAAACTTTACATTTGACACAATGCAGTCAGGAAAGTATCGTTCTGGCACCCGCCAAACCCAGACATGGCCATTGGATTGCCAGACAGAGAAGCATGATTGGTTGCTCCAGAGAACACGCCTCCTCTGCTCTAGAGTCCAGTGGCGGCATGCTTTACACCACAGCATCCGACGCTTTGCACTTGGTGATGGAAGGCTTGGATGCAGCTGCTCGGCCATGGAAACCCATTCCATGAAGCTCTCTACGCACTGTTGTTGGGCTCATCTGAAGGCCACACCAAGTTTGGAGGTCTTTAGCTATTGACTCTGCAGACAGTTGGTGACTTCTGCGCACTGTGCGCTTCAGCATGCGCTGACCCCGCCCTGTCATGTGACGTGGCCTACCACTTGGGCTGAGTGGCTGTTGTTCCCAGTTGCTCCCACTTTGTTATAATCCCACTAACAGTTGAGCGTGGAATATTTAGTAGCCAGGAAATGTCACGGATGGACTTATTGCCCAGGTGGCCACCTATCACGGGACCACGCTTGGAGTCACTGAGCTCCTGAGAGCGACCCATTCTTTCACCAATGTTTGTAGAAGCCGTCTGCATGTCTAGGGGCTTGATTGTATACACCTGTGTCCAGGGGCGGACTGACAACTCATGGGGCCCCCGGGCAATAGGGGATCATGGGGCCCCTGTGTCCTTGCCCAAACTCAAAAAATCCCAAACTCAAAAAAGGTACCAGGGGCATCTCATGGGGCCCCCTACTGACCCCGCCCCTGGCTGTGTCCATGGAGGGGATTGGAGCACCTGAATCACATGATTGGGAGGGGTGTATAGTGTGTGTATAAAAATGTATGTGTGTGTGTGTGTATATATATACATATATATATATATATATATATATATATATATATATATATATATATATATATATATATGTATGTATGTATGTATGTATGTATGTATGTATATGTGTGTATGTATGTATGTACATATATATATATATATATATATATATATATATATTTTTTTTTTTTTTTTTTATATATTTTCGGACAAAAATCTTGAGTGCTGTTGTCCAGGGAAAGGCTCACATTCATTTACAGCTCCTTCTTTCCATCTTGTAGGAGAAGCAATATGCTCACTGGATGGCAGCCTGCAGATTGGCATCCAAGGGAAAGACCATGGCAGACAGTTCCTACAACCTGGAAGTCCAGAACATCTTGTCCTTCTTGAAGATGCAACACCTAAACCCGGACCCTCAGTTCATTCCTGACCAGGTCAACTCTGACATCAACCCAGAGTGCGTCGTCTCACCCCGTTATTTGAAGAAGTACAAGAACAAACAGGTACTGCCATTCCCACCACCTTCTTCAATGGGGAGGTCTTGGCACTGGTGAATGGTTTTGCATTGCACCACAGAAGAGGGCTTGGGGTGCTTACAGGGCTTCCGGGGCTTCTTTTTGCCTTTGCACCCTGGAGTTGTACAGTAATGGATTTTTGAGATCACTGCCCTCACTGCAGTAGGAGGAACAAGTGGGGGGACTTAAGCTAAGACTAGGAGGGGAATATGAAAAAAAGCCCTTTTGAAGACTAAAAGGTACTTCAAGTATATGCCAATAGGTCAGGCATGTGAGTGTGACTCCCTCCCCATTATTGCACTGGCCAATCAGTGCTGTCACAAGGGTCCATAGCCTGTAAGCTACAACTTCTTTCAACTTTCCTTTAGTTTCAGCAGTCAAACAGAATGGAGGGGGTGAAAGGAAGGGAAGTACAATGGGGGGAGGGCTCCTGGAGAGGAAAGTATTAAAGTGACCTTGTTGTTTTGTGGTGTATGTGCTAAGAACAGGTTTTCTTTAAGCATCAGATTTCAGTCCCATGGACACCATCTAAATCACTGTTTGGCCAAACATCTGTGGACACCTGGCCATCACACTGATATGAGATTGATGGACATCCCATTCCAAAACCATGGGCATAAATATAGAGCTGCTCAATTTGTGATTATGCCATCCTCCTCTCTTCTGGAGGAAATTTGTGCCATTTTTTGAGGTCCGGTACTGATGTTGGATGGGAAGACCTGTCTCTCTCAGTTGGTGTTCCAATTCATCCCAAAGGTATTCAGTAAGGTTGAGATTGTGGTGGTAGGTGAGGAACATCATGCATGAATAGAAAGTATTGGAAACTCCAGCTGGTTGGAGAGCAAATATCACTGTATTAGTGTATGACCTAAATTATGGCCAGTACAAATTGGAGAACTGTGGATCCCCTTTCTTTAAAACTTTGGTAGTGTTGGATTTGTTGGTCTTGGGAAATGCAGTCTGTATGCCAATATGATTGTAGTGTCTGCTGACCCTGCAGCCATACAATCCATCCTTCTGGGAAGACTTTCCCATTCCAAAGGTGTTTAGTAGGGTTAAGGTCATGGCTCAGTGCAGGGCACTTGAATTCTTCCACACCAAACTGGTCAAACCATTTCACCGTTGAGTTGGCATTACTCTTCTGGAAAGGCTTCCCACAAAATTTTGGAGTATGTCTGTGCGAATTTGTGTCCAACCAGCCAAAGGAACATTTGTGAGGTCACAATCCGATTAATCCCGAAGGTATTCAGTAGGGTTGAGGTCAGGGCTCTGTACAGGACACTTGAGTTCCTCCACATGGTCCTCCACGTCTTTATGGAGCTGGCTTTGTACACGGGGGACAGTCATGGGGGAACAGAAAAGGGTCTTCACCAAACTGTTACCACAAGGCTGGAAGAGCACGATTATCTACAATGTCTTTGTGTGATGGAGGATTGCCAGGACTCTTCACTGGAGACACCTGACCTCCATCATTTGGAAGGGGGTCCACATATGTTTGGCCTGCATGTGACGTATCATGGAAGTGACTGGTATAAGTGGGGAGACTTAGCCAGCGTCTCTCAAAGGGCATTCACCAAGAGCCATGACCCTGCGGCATAGAATTTACCCAGAAGATACTGCAAGGCCTCAATTGCCGGGTACATGGGGGGGATATTGATATGCCAGACTAAGAATTGACTTGTGTCTAGTGAAACTACAGAATATATTCCATTATTCTACCAACTCACAGTTTCCCATTTTGGTTATTGTCAGTTGTCAATTACAGACGGGCCCTTTTATGAATATCTCTGAAAGGGTTAATATTACGGGAGCATGCAGGAAGTGGCTGCTATGGAGGTCATATGGGATGGTTCTGTCCCACAGAGTCTCATGACACAAAGCTGTTGTAAAAGCAGGATGTGCCGTGGCGGGGGAAATGTGCGGAATGTGATCTGCATGTTACCAGCAAGAAATGTCATCTGGCCGTCTCATGCAATCATGAGCGCCTCCCTAGACTCCGTACTTCAGTACGCATTGCAGATTATGATCTTTTCCTGAGGGCCGATTCAAACTCTAGTGAACACCAAAGTGGGGCAAAAAAGTGCATATGAACGCACACATAAGTGTGCTAGGGTGTGTCAAATGGGAGAATGTCACCAGCACACCGAGGATCACCAATATGGGTCCAAAAGCTTTAATAAACGATCACATAGTTACAGCAAGGCAACGTTTCGGAGTCTCACAGGACCCCTTCATCAGGCATGTGACCCCTTCACCAGGACCCCTTCATCAGGCATGTGACCCCTTCATCAGGCATGTGACCCCTTCATCAGGACCCCTTCATCAGGACCCCTTCATCAGGCATGTGACCCATGGGAGTGTCCACCTAGCCAAAAGGCTCAGCAGACCCCTCTCATGATCATCCAGAGCAACCAACAAGTACCGGTCTACAAAGAGAGATTTTCCCCCCCCCCTCCCCCCAAGGCAGGGAGGAAGAAACCTGATGGTCACACATCCTTACCCTAGAGGTCAGGGTGGGTCCAAAGACCTACACCATACAATCCTGAATGAAAAGTGACGGACATGTGGAGAATAATAAAATAAAAAGTGCCGATGTGCAAGACAGTGACTAGGCTAGTTTACAACTAGTAATGAGATCTGCCAGGACAGAACAGATGGGAGTAAATATTGTAATCCGATCTCCTTAGTCCCCTTCATTACATAGGAGGGAAAGCTAGGGAGAATTTTAACAAAGTAAACCGATAAATAGTGATTTTTTAAATATTTTTGTTTTTTTAGAAGTTATTCTCTGGGAATGGGAGGATGTAGCAGCAATAGCCGGTTCTCCCAAATTGGCTGCAAACATAGAAATCCACTTTGGGGTCTCAGTTATGCAGCTCAGCAATTATTAATGTGATTTGTACTCTGTGGATGTGGATCCGGAGTCACACTGGTAATGGGTTGTGATCAATGCTTTGTACTGCTTGACTGTATAGGTGTGTGCTGCATTCTCCACCGCTGCCTCCACCTCTCACTTTGCTGTCACTCGGCTTTTCTGGTGTTTTTATTTTTTGAAGGTAATGTGCATATTGTGGGGGCTGGATTCTGTTCTGGGAAGATATGCAGAACTTTCTTCTTCTTTTGCTTGTTTGCCGTAAATCTCATTTGCTCTTTTTGTTTTGTCCCCCATCTCTACCTTCCTCCCTTCCTCTTTCCTCTTCCTCTTTCTCCTTCCTCTTCCTCCTTCCTTCCTTCCTTCCTTCCTTCTTTCCCTTCCTTCCTTCTTTCCCTTCCTTCCTTCTTTCCCTTCCTTCCTTCCTTCTTTCCCTTCCTTCCTTCTTTCCCTTCCTTCCTTCCTTCTTTCCCTTCCTTCCTTCTTCCCTTCCTTCCTTCTTTCCCTTCCTTCCTTCTTTCCTTTCCCTTCCTTCCTTCTTTCCCTCCCTTCCTTCCTTCCCTCCCTTCCTTCCTTCCCTCCCTCCCTTCCTTCCTTCCCTCCCTTCCTTCCTTCCCTCCCTTCCTTCCCTCCCTCCCTTCCTTCCTTCCCTCCCTTCCTTCCTTCCCTCCCTTCCTTCCTTCCTTCCTTCCTTCCTTCCTTCCTTCTTCCCTTCCTTCCTTCTTTCCCTTCCTTCCTTCTTTCCCTTCCTTCCTTCCTTCCTTCTTTCCCTTCCTTCTTTCCCTTCCTTCTTCCTTCCTTCCTTCTTTCCCTTCCTTCCTTCCTTCCTTCTTTCCCTTCCTTCTTTCCCTTCCTTCTTTCCCTTCCTTCTTTCCCTTCCTTCTTTCCCTTCCTTCTTTCCCTTCCTTCTTTCCCTTCCTTCTTTCCCTTCCTTCTTTCCCTTCCTCCTTCTTTCCCTTCCTTCCTTCCTTCTTTCCCTTCCTTCTTTCCCTTCCTTCTTTCCCTTCCTTCTTTCCCTTCCTTCTTTCCCTTCCTTCTTTCCCTTCCTTCTTTCCCTTCCTTCCTTCCTTCTTTCCCTTCCTTCCTTCCTTCTTTCCCTTCCTTCCTTCTTTCCCTTCCTTCCTTCTTTCCCTTCCTTCCTTCTTTCCCTTCCTTCCTTCTTTCCCTTCTTTCCCTTCTTTCCCTTCCTTCTTTCCCTTCTTTCCCTTCCTTCTTTCCCTTCTTTCCCTTCTTTCCCTTCCTTCTTTCCCTTCTTTCCCTTCCTTCCTCCCTTCTTTCCCTTCCTTCCTTCCTTCCTTCCTTCTTCCCCTTCCTTCCTTCCTTCTTTCCCTTCCTTCCTTCCTTCTTTCCCTTCCTTCTTTCTCTTCCTTCTTTCCTTCTTTCCCTTCCTTCCTTCCTTCTTTCCCTTCCTTCCTTCTTTCCCTTCCTTCCTTCTTTCCCTTCCCTTCCTTCTTTCCCTTCCTTCTTTCCCTTCCTTCTTTCCCTTCCTTCTTTCCCTTCCTTCCCTTCCTTCCTTCCCTTCCTCCTTTCCCTTCCTTCCTTCCTTCCTCCTTTCCCTTCCTTCCTTCCTTCCTTCCTCCTTCCTTCCTTCCTTCCTTCCTCCTTTTCCTTCCTCCTTTTCCTTCCTCCTTTTCCTTCCTCCTTTTCCTTCCTCCTTTTCCTTCCTCCCTTCCTTCCTTCTTTCCCTTCCTTCTTCCTTCTTTCCTTCTTCCCTTCCTTCCTTCTTTCCCTTCCTTCCTTCCTTCTTTCCTTCCTTCCTTCTTTTTTTCCTTCCTTCCTTCTTTCCCTTTCCTTCCTTCCTTTCCTTCCTTCCTCCTTTCCTTCCTTCCTTCCTTCCTTCCTTCCTTCCTTCCTTCTTCCTTCCTTCTTCCCTTCCTTCCCTTCCTTCTTTCCCTTCCTTCCCTTCCTTCTTTCCTTCCTTCCTTCCTTCCTTCCTCCTTTTCCTTCCTTCCTTCCTTCCTCCTTTTCCTTCCTTCCTTCCTTCCTCCTTTTCCTTCCTTCCTTCCTTCCTTCCTTCCTTCCTCCTTTTCCTTCCTTCCTTCCTCCTTTTCCTTCCTTCCTTCCTTCCTTCCTTCCTTCCTTCCTTCCTTCCTCCTTTCCCTTCCTTCCTTCCTCCCTTCCTCCTTTCCCTTCCTTCCTTCCTCCCTTCCTCCTTTCCCTTCCTTCCTTCCTCCCTTCCTCCTTTCCCCCTTCCTTCCTTCCTCCCTTCCTCCTTTCCCTTCCTTCCTTCCTCCCTTCCTCCTTTCCCTTCCCTTCCCTTCCTTCTTTCCCCTCCTCCCTTCCTCCTCCTCCATTTCTCGGCATTGCCCTCCACAGCCAGGCTATGTAAGAGATTTGGTAAGTTCAATCTGCAGAACAAAGCTGCATTTTTAGTCTGTCCCCATCCCCAGTGCCCCCTCCACCCCCCCCCATACTCTCCCCCCCCCCCCCATGTCTTTTTCTGGTTTTCACAGATTTATTGATGTTAAAGTGGAACTCCAGACAAGTACAATAAGCTCCAGAAAACAAAATGGCGGACCCACCCATAATTTCATCTGAAGTTGCCTTATTTTGGGGGGGGGGGGTAAATAACTTGAATGTTCCGTGTCACAAAGTTAGTGAGCAGCTCACATCTGCTGGCCAGTGACACCAGGATGATGGTGTCAGCAGGGCCGAGGGGGTCCACGTGGCGGTGATGTCATCGCTGTGGAAGGGGAGGTTTGACCAATGAAAAGCCTTCTTGGGTCACAGAGGTCACAAAGGACGGATCCGGCGGATGATTTCACATCATTCAGAAAGTGATCCCGACTTCCCCTTTTCATGAAATCTTTCCTGTTTACTCCTCGCTCCATCGTGACGATCGATTTGCGTCGAGGTCTTTTTTTTTCTTCTTTAACCTCCACAATGATCTTTGTATTGCGCTTTATGATTTAATTTGGTGCAAGAGCTTACAGACCGTCCTGTACTCATCGCTAACATTCAATCTGCCGGTATTCCCCTCCCCCCCCAAATTACATTTCTAAATAAAGCCTTTCCATTTACAATGCTTTCCTTATTTTAGACTTGGTGATGTCATCACTGGGTCTCTGCGCTTCTCTATGCAGTGCAGACAGATCATGGCTGGCTGGGGGCTGTCCCTCCCGATTGTGCCTCGGTACGCCTCTCCAGATCCCTCAGCCATGATGTAAGCAGTGGGAGGAGTTATGCAAATATTGACGTCTTGATGGGGGGGTGTTCCTAAGCAGGCTGTATTTGCATGCTGACCACGTTAGGTAACACCCACGTCAGACGCTGAGCCTCCATGATTTAAGGAACTGAAACCCAATAAATGAAAGGGACTTGGCCAGGGACAGTCATGCTGGGGAGGAAAGGGCTAGATGATGCTGGTCGTCCTCCAGCCAGGAAGTGAGGCGGAGCTCTATCTGACTTGCCGCAGCTTCTAATGCACACTGTGAGAGGCGTGTTGTGGTGTACTGTGCGTTGGGTGCGCACTGCTGCGTGTTGTGGACCCTCCAGCGCATGGTGTGGACAGGCAGAGGCTGAGTACAGTAGTACACCTCCCAGGTCTGGCAGAGATTGCTGGGTGTGGCTGTACCAGGCGCTATGTGCGGAATGCGTGTCATCTGTCAGTATGGAGGCCGTGACCCGTTCTGTGATTGGAATGTGCGTGTTGTCACGTCTGATCTGTGTGAGCGGAGGCCGTGTCTGGCGTCTGTGGATGTGCAGAGAGAAGACCGCTAGGTGTCGCGTATGGACGATGCTTCATTCCATAGGCCGCTAGGTGTCACGTGTGGATGGCGCTTCATTCCACAGACCGCTAGGTGTCACGTATGTAGGATGCTTCATTCCACAGACCGCTAGGTGTCACGTATGGACAATGCTTCATTCCATAGACCACTAGGTGTCATGTATGGACGATGCTTCATTCCATAGGCCGCTAGGTGTCACGTGTGGATGGCGCTTCATTCCACAGACCGCTAGGTGTCACGTATGTAGGATGCTAAATTCCACAGACCGCTAGGTGTCACGTATGGACGATGCTTCATTCTACAGACTGCTAGGTGTCACGTATGTAGGATGCTTCATTCCACAGACCGCTAGGTGTCACGTATGGATGATGCTTCATTCCACAGACCGCTAGGTGTCACGTATGTAGGATGCTTCATTCCACAGACCGCTAGGTGTCACGTATGGATGATGCTTCATTCCATAGATCGCTAGGTGTCACGTATGGACGATGCTTCATTCCATAGACCGCTAGGTGTCATGTATGGCCGACGCTTCATTCCATAGACCGCTAGGTGTCACGTATGGACGATGCTTCATTCCATAGATCGCTAGGTGTCACGTATGGACCATGCTTCATTCCATAGACCGCTAGGTGTCACGTATGGCCGACGCTTCATTCCACAGACCGCTAGGTGTCACGTATGGCCGACGCTTCATTCCACAGACCGCTAGGTGTCACGTATGGCCGACGCTTCATTCCACAGACTGCTAGGTGTCATGTATGGACCATGCTTCATTCCATAGACCGCTAGGTGTCACGTATGTACGATGCTTCATTCCATAGATCGCTAGGTGTCACGTATGTACGATGCTTCATTCCATAGACCGCTAGGTGTCACGTATGGACCATGCTTCATTCCATAGACCGCTAGGTGTCACGTATGGACGATGCTTCATTCCATAATCCGCTAGGTGTCACGTATGGACCATGCTTCATTCCACAGACCGCTAGGTGTCACGTATGGCCGACGCTTCATTCCATAGACCGTTAGGTGTCACGTATGGCCGACCCTTCATTCCATAGACCGCTAGGTGTCACGTACGGCCAACACTTCCATCCACAGACCGCTAGGTGTCATGTATGGCCGACGCTTCATTCCATAGACCGCTAGGTGTCATGTATGGCTGATGCTTCATTCCGTAGACCGCTAGGTGTCATGTACGGCCGACACTTCATTCCACAGACCGCTAGGTGTCATGTATGGCTGATGCTTCATTCCGTAGTCCGCTAGGTGTCACGTATGGCTGACGCTTCATTCCGTAGACCGCTAGGTGTCATGTACGGCCGACACTTCATTCCACAGACCGTTAGGTGTCATGTATGGCTGATGCTTCATTCCATAGACCGCTAGGTGTCACGTATGGCCGACGCTTCATTCCACAGACCGCTAGGTGTCATGTATGGCCGACGCTTCATTCCATAGACCGCTAGGTGTCACGTATGGCCGACGCTTCATTCCATAGACCGCTAGGTGTCATGTACGGCCGACGCTTCGTTCCATAGACCGCTAGGTGTCACGTATGGCTGATGCTTCATTCCGTAGACCGCTAGGTGTCACGTATGGCCGACGCTTCATTCCACAGACCGCTAGGTGTCATGTATGGCCGACGCTTCATTCCACAGACCGCTAGGTGTCACGTATGGCCGACACTTCATTCCACAGACCGCTAGGTGTCATGTATGGCTGATGCTTCATTCTGTAGACCGCTAGGTGTCATGTATGGCCGACACTTCATTGCACAGACCGCTAGGTGTCATGTACGGCCGACACTTCATTCCACAGACCGCTAGGTGTCATGTATGGCTGATGCTTCATTCCACAGACCGCTAGGTGTCACGTATGGCCGATGCTTCATTCCGTAGACCGCTAGGTGTCATGTACGGCCGACACTTCATTCCACAGACCGCTAGGTGTCATGTATGGCTGATGCTTCATTCCGTAGACCGCTAGGTGTCACGTACGGCCGACGCTTCATTCCACAGACCGCTAGGTGTCATGTATGGCCGACGCTTCATTCCACAGACCGCTAGGTGTCATGTACGGCCGACACTTCATTCCACAGACCGCTAGGTGTCATGTATGGCTGATGCTTCATTCCGTAGACCGCTAGGTGTCACGTACGGCCGACGCTTCATTCCACAGACCGCTAGGTGTCGTGTATGGATGGTGCTTCATTCCACAGACCGCTAGGTGTCATGTATGGATGGTGCTTCATTCCATAGACCACTAGGTGTCACGTACGGCCGACGCTTCATTCCGTAGACCGCCAGGTGTCATGTATGGCTGATCCTTCATTCCCATAGGTCGCCATGTGTCACGTATGGACGACGCTTCATTCCATAGGCTAGGCCACGCAATATGGGAGGCTGCCACCATTGGCAGGGTTAAATGCAGCCGGGGGGGGGGGGGGGAGGGGGCCAAGGGGTGGGGGGTGGTATACACCCGAATGTATCGGGAGGGGGAGGGGATTCTTTGTTGCCTAGCACCGTGAAGCCACACCAGTCCATAGTGCCTTCCTCGTCCTGGTTATGCAGTGTGACAGGGACATGGAAATCACAAGACCGGCTGAACAGCATTACAATTTTATTTGCAGGTAGATCAGTTCACATTTTTGTCTGGCGTTCCCCTGTACCCAGCACACACCCTCAGGAATGTCCCGGTGTTCCGTCCCGTGTCCGGTGTATAAATATGGTGTTCCTTGTTGGCGTCCTCTATGTATTTCCACCCCCACCTGAAATCCGTTATTTGTGACGTTTCTGATATCCTCCTCGGATCCCATCAATCTTTCCTTGTCCTCCTCAGATCACGGCCCGGATCCTGGAAGCCCATCAGAACGTCGCCCAGATGAGTCTCATAGAAGCAAAGATGAGGTTCATCCAAGCCTGGCAATCCTTGCCGGAGTTCGGCATCACCCATTTCATCGCCAGGTCAGTCTGTGGGCGGAGTTGTGAGCTTTATTGATGAATACTTCACCTTTACCAACAATAACACTGCCAATGCAGATAAGGGGCCTTATGTACCTCCTGAAGCCTGAGGGAGAACCTCCCGGAGATGGCTTCATCCTGTCCTGCTTTGTTGCTAGGACGTTGCTAAGACACTCCCAGCCATTCAAACCCCCTCACATACACTCTCCCTCTGAGCTCAGAGATGCTGGACGGAAGAGATGGCGGACCACATATGTGCTCCTGTGATGGATGAGGATGAGAAGTAATGGCCAGGAGTGTCTTAGCAACATCCTAGCAACAAGGCAGGACAGGGATATTTGAGGATCTTGCCCCAGCCAGTGGACAATATGTATTTTTTTTTCTGCATCCCATGAGGGAGATTTTCCTTCGCCAAGGAAACAGGAAGTGGAAGGAAATCTCTGCAAAGTGAGGGGAATTCCTTCTTAGCTCTCAGCCGAACCGATGTCCCCAATGGAAGTCCCTGTGCTGGTGACAGATGTAAAATGGATTTGTTGGATTCACTGATCCATTTTATGGTTCCACCCACACAGCCATGTTGTCCATTCACAGATCCATTTTACGGGTCCACCTACACAGCCATGTCACCCATTCACAGATCCATTTTACGGGTCCACCTACACAGCCATGTCACCCATTCACAGATCCATTTTATGGCTCCACCAACATAGCCATGTCAACCATTCATAGATCCATTTTATGGCTCCACCCACACAGCCATGTTGTCCATTCACAGATCCATTTTATGGCTCCACCAACATAGCCATGTCAACCATTCATAGATCCATTTTATGGCTCCACCCACGCAGCCATGTCATCCGTTCACAAATGAATTTTATGGCTCCACCCACACAGCCATGTCGTCCATTCACAGATCCATTTTATGGCTCCACCAACATAGCCATGTCATCCATTCACAAATGAATTTTATGGCTCCACCCACACAGCCATGTCGTCCATTCACAGATTAATTTTATGGCTCCACCCACACAGCCATGTCATCCATTCACAGATCCATTTTATGTCTCCACCAACATAGCCATGGCAACCATTCTCAGATCCATTCAGACAGATCTGTGAATGGAGGTCCCATCTGCCGCTGTGGTAGAGGGACTTAATAGAACACATGTGACATTACCACCCTTATATTCCATTGATATTTCCTCCAGCTCCATTACGGAAGGTCCTAACCTCTGTAGAGGAACTGGAGGAATAGCCTGCAGGAGCCAGAGCATTGCACCTGTAAGCCACCGCCATGAAGAAAGGGACTAATAAGGGGGAAGGGATGTTGCCATTGAATAATTAATACGAACAGAAAGTTAAAGTATCCATTGGTATCCTAATGATTGAAACATTGTCTATGCCAGATGACCCAACCCCCCCCCACAAAGGGGCAGCCACCTACTGAACCTTTACTTTCAACCCTCTAGTGAGTTCTTCACTGCACAGTAAGTAACTCGCAGGTACACCCCGCTCCTCCTGGGCATTCGCTCTGCTTCACCCCATTTATTCCTATGGGCGATGAACCGTACTCCTTCAGCTGGCTGGGGCCACCATGAGCGCAGACCAGCCATAGGAATGAATAGGCACACCAGCCACCTGTTCAGTAGTTTGTGTTTTTGTTTTTTTTTTGCAGAAAAACTTTAAATACATTTAGTTTTGGTCTTCAACATTCATCTTCTTGTAAGAAAATGCCAAAACTGCTAATTGCCGTAGAAATTTTCAGAAGTGCAAAATCTTGCGTAGTTTTATCCTATAGCAGCGCTCCGAAGGTCTTGCAGTGATTTTATAGATTTACCTGACATCTCTTTATCAGGTTCCAAGGTGGGAAGAAGGAGGAACTGATTGGCATTGCCTACAACCGGCTCATTAGGATGGATGCCAGCACCGGTGATGCCATTAAAACTTGGAGGTTCAGCAACATGAAGCAATGGAACGTCAACTGGGAAATAAAAATGGTAAATTTTCTCTGGAAACCGTAATCTCTTCCTTTATTTTTATTATTGTTTAGCTTTATATTTGGAGCTTTACTGCATATATACTTGAAAGGTGTACATACAGCCAAGGAAATGAGGAAATGAGTTGACTATATAGCCCAATATACCTATATCTAAAGGTGTATATATTTTTTCCTACCACCTCCCCAGTGCGACATCCCCTTGTGTCTAAGCGTCAGTGTTGATGCCTAGATTGGGAGATGTCATGGCAGACACACCACCACCACTCGTTACACATATCAGGTCTGGTGATTTAACCACTAAGACCCAAGCACTGTCCCATGGGGGAGAAGTCCCATTGTTCAGGCCCAGTGATTACCGCTAAGACCCAAGTGCTGTCCTATGGAGGGAAAAGCCCCGGTGTTCAGGCCCAGTGATCAAGCACAAAGACCCAAGCACTGTTCCATAGGGGAGAATCTCCGGTGTTCAGGCCCAGTGTTTTAACCACAAAGACCCAAGTGCTGTCCCATGGGGGAGAAGCCCCGGTGTTCAGGCCCAGTGATTACCACTAAGACCCAAGTGCTCTCCTATGGAGGGAAAAGCCCCAGTGTTCAGGCCCAGTGATCAAGCACAAAGACCCAAGCACTGTTCCATAGGGGAGAATCTCCAGTGTTCAGGACCAGTGATCAAGCACAAAGACCCGAGTGCTGTCCCACAGGGGAGAAGCCCCAGTGTTCAGGCCCATTGATTAACCACGAAGACCCAAGTGCTGTCCTATGGGGGAGAAGCCCCAGTGTTCAGGCCCAGTGATTAACGACTAAGACCCAAGTGCTGTTCCATGGGGATAGGCCCCAGTAATTAACCACGAAGACCTAAGCACTGTCCCATGAGGGAGAAGCCCTAGTGTTCAGGCCCGATGATCAACCACTAAGACCTAAGCACTGTCCCATAGGGGAGAAAACCCAGTGTTCAGGCCCAATAATCAACCACTAAGACCCAAACGCTGTTGCATGGGGGAGAAGCCCCGGTGTTCAGGCCCAGTGATCAACCACTAAGACCCAAGCGCTGTCCCATGAGGATGAAGCCCCAGTGTTCAGGCCTGGTAATCAACCACTAAGACCTAAGCACTGTCCCATAGGGGAAAAGCCCCAGTGTTCAGGCCCAATAATCAACCACCAAGACCCAAACGCTGTCGCATGGGGGAGAGGCACCGGTGTTCAGGCCAAGTGATCAATCGCTAAGACCCAAGTGATGTTCCATGGGGGATAAGCCCCAGTGTTCAGGCCCAGTGATCAACCACAAAGACCCGAGTGATGTTCCATGGGGGATAAGCCCCAGTGTTCAGGCCCAGTGATTAACGACTAAGACCCAAGTGCTATTCCATGGGGATAAGCCCCAGTGATTAACCACAAAGACCTAAGTGCTGTCCCATAGGGGAAAAGCCCCAGTGTTCAGGCCCAATAATCAACCACTAAGACCCAAACGCTGTTGCATGCGGGAGAAGCCTCGGTGTTCAGGCCCAATGAGGAATCACTAAGACCCAAGCACTGTCCCATGGGGGAAAAGCCCCAATGTTCATGCCCAGTGATTAACCACTAAGATCCAAGCGCTGTCGCATGGTGGAGAAGCCCCAGTGTTCAACCACTAAGACCCAAGTGCTGTCCCATGGGGGAAAATCTCCAGTATTCAGGCCCATTGATTAACCACTAAGTTCCAAACGCTGTCCGATGGTGGAGAAGCCCCAGTGTTCAGGCCCAGTGATCAACCAATAAGACCCAAGCGCTGTCCCATGGGGGAGAAACCCCAGTGTTCAGGCCCAGTAATTAACCATTAAGACTCAAGCGCTGTCCCATGGGGAGTAGCCCTACTTCAATTGTGAGCTGGGGAAAAAGTGTGTAGAGATAGAAAAGGAATAAAAATTGGTTTTAGTGTGAATCCAAAAGAGGGGTGTTCTCTTTCTGAAGGAGGTGAGTCCATTGGGCAAGTATGGTGTTTGTAGACCTGCTTCATTCCTAGGCTCCTGCCGCTCCAATCACGATATAAGAATTGCGCATCAGAATATCAGATATTAGATATGTGGTTCACAGTACGCAGTAAAATGGTTATCTCACTGGTAAAATCACATAAAATGTTTGTTAAACCAGAATTTCAGACATTTTTCAGGGATGGGCCTCAATGACTTGTTTAACAATTTTGTTGGTTAATCAATGCAGAGTTTGTTAAATAGCCTGGATTAGGGCTAGAATGGGGCTGATTGTCAGCATTGCTGGACAACAGTGAGGTCAGCTGACTCCCATTATAGCCCAAATCCAGGCGAGTCTACAAACTCTACCTTGACTAACCTACAAAATCATTATATTAGCCCCGGAGAAGGAGGCCCATCTCTGAAACATGTTGACTTCATCTGACATTCTTGATCAATAAACATTTTTAATGGACTTCCACGTGGAATAACGGTTTACTAGACTCTCTCAACCAACTATCCTTCATTAGCGAACTGGATAAGTAGATGTTTGGGAAAGGGATCCTTGTGTAAATAGTGTCACTTTTGCCCTGAATGTGCAAACCTACAAAAAAAATCCAAAGACCGCATCAAAACAATGTCTTAGATGGAAACGAGGTGCTGGATAGAGATCTTTGGTCAATGGGAAAAACATTAAATCGAGTCTGATGGCTTGGGTTTGAGAGGTCTTACAAAAATCAGTTGTGGGAAAAACACCCCTTACATTGGTGTCCAATGGAAAGAATAAAAGAATGCCACCCTCACAGTGGTAGCCAGGAGACCACCCTTACAGAAAGCTAGAAAGATAATTGGTGTCATGCAGCTGGCTTTGCCAAGTGGCGTTGGCTTCAGAACTGTGCAGGCATCATCAAGGGGGAGGGTAATCAGCCACAGCATAAGGAGCCCTGGTTGAGAATGGCTGCTGTAGGGGATCACGTTGATACGCAAGGCCCTAGGTATCCCTTTGATGCTTGGTGAACCCCTGCTAAAATCAATTATTTGGGTATCAGTGGGAACAACACCCCTTAGATTGGTGTCCAGTGGAAGGCATGCTCTTACGGTGACGGCCACAAGACCACCCTTACAGACAGCTAAAAAAAAAAGTGTCATGCAGCTGACTCTGCCAAGTGACGTTGGCCCCAGAACTATGCAGGCACCATAAAATGGGAGGTCAGCCACAGCATAAGGAACCCTGGTTGAGGATGGCTGCTGTAAGGAAACATGTTGATACATAAAGCCCTAGATTTTCTTTTGATGCTTGAGGAACTCTTGATGAAACCAATTCTTTGGGTGTCATTGGGAAAAACGCCCCTTACATTGGTGTCCAATGGAACAAATGCCCACCTTACAGTGGTGGTCAAAAGGCCTCCCTTATAGATGGTTAGAAAGATATTTGGTGTGGTGCAGCTGGCTTTGCCAAGTTGTGTTGGTTTCAGAACTGTGCAGGGATCATCAAAGGAACCCTGGTTGAGAATGGCTGCTGTAGGGGATCACGTTGATACGTAAAGCCCTAGATATTCTTTTGATGCTTGGGGAACCCTTGCTGAAACCAGTTCTTTGTGTGTCAGTGGGAAACACATCCCCTACATTGGTGTCCAATGGAAAGAATGCCCACCTTACAGTGGTGGTCAGAAGGCCTCCTTACAGATGGCTGGAAAGATATTTGGTGTCATGCAGCTGGCTTTGCCAAGTGACGTTGACTTCAGAAGTGTGCAGAGATCATCAAAGGAACCCTGGTTGAGAATGGCTGCTGTAGGGGAGCACGTTGATACGTAAGGCCCTAGGTATCCCTTTGATCCTTGGGGAACCCTTGCTGAAACCAATTCTTTGGGTATCAGTGGGAAAAAAATCCCTTACATTGGTGTCCAGTGGAAGGCATGCTCTTACGGTGGCGGCCACAAGACCACCCTTACAGACAGCTTAAAAAAAAAATAGTGTCATGCAGCTGGCTTTGCCAAGTGGCGTCGGCTCCATAACTATGCCGGCACCATGAAAGGGGGCGGTAAATCAGCCACAGCATAAGGAACTCTGGTTGGCAATGGCTGCTGTAGGGGAACATGTTGCTACCTGGCTGCTGTAGGGGAACATGTTGCTACCTGGCTGCTGTAGGGGAACACGTTGCTACCTGGCTGCTGTAGGGGAACACGTTGCTACGTGGCTGCTGTAGGGGAACACGTTGCTACGTGGCTGCTGTAGGGGAACACGTTGCTACGTGGCTGCTGTAGGGGAACACGTTGCTACGTGGCTGCTGTAGGGGAACACGTTGCTACGTGGCTGCTGTAGGGGAACACGTTGCTACGTGGCTGCTGTAGGGGAACACGTTGCTACGTGGCTGCTGTAGGGGAACACGTTGCTACCTGGCTGCTGTAGGGGAACACGTTGCTACCTGGCTGCTGTAGGGGAACACGTTGCTACGTGGCTGCTGTAGGGGAACACGTTGCTACGTGGCTGCTGTAGGGGAACATGTTGCTACGTGGCTGCTGTAGGGGAACACGTTGCTACATGGCATCCTTTTGATTCTTTTTGTGTACGTGGTCAGCCAGTAACCCTCCACTCTTGCCGTCTTCCAGGTAACCGTGGAGTTTGCCGATGAAATGAGGCTCTCCTTCATCTGCACAGAAGTGGATTGCAAAGTAGTTCACGAATTTATCGGCGGCTACATCTTCCTGTCCACGCGGGCCAAGGACCAGAACGAAAGTTTGGATGAAGAAATGTTCTTTAAACTGACAAGCGGATGGGTGTGAGTGCAATGACTCGGCCCCCCCACCCCACCCCCACACCTCATTTATCAGAGCTGTCCTATCTTGATTTTTTTCCTAAGTATGCTGCTTAAGAAAAAAAAAAAATTAAATAAACGTAAGCTTGAAATGTATCCACTCTATGACAAAAAAAATGTTTTGCGAGTTGCGCGCACTAACCAAAGCACTTCCATCTCCTACCAAGTTTCTGCCGGCGGTTCCAGAATATGGCGGGAGTGTCGCGCTGTCCGCTGGAGACCTGAAACTCGCAGGGGGGGGAGGGGGTCCTTTTATTTCAGGACTAAATTATGAACTAAGCGAAAGGAAAGCGTTTTTAAAGCCATTGACGACGTGACTGCGCAGGGCCTCAACGTATTCCAACCACCAGTCCGGTGTAATGCATGTATTTTTATATTTTGGTGACCGAAAAAAAGAACGAGTTGACCGTTTTTTGGGATTTTTGTAAAAAAAAAAGAAAAAAAATCTGCCTTTTTGATTTTTTTTTAGTTTGTATAGCAATTAGGTCAACGTTGAAGTATTGTGCTGTTTGGAGAACACAACGGTCCTCAAGGACATATCCTATTATAGGGTGGCTGTTGCCTAGCTACAGCGGTTGCCGCCATTTTGAAAAAAAAATGGTCTCAAAACTTGACACGTGGCAGAGTGTTGTTTTTTTTTTGTTTGTTTTTTTTGCATTTGAATGTTTTTGGACAGCCTCCAAAATGGCCGTTTCTACTTTTAGCTTCACGAAGTGCCTGATTGGTGTCATCAATTCTCTGCTGAACGGTTTATTGGCTAACCAACGAAACGTCTTCTTGATGGAACGGTCTCGGTGAAATCATTGGTGGAATACAATTTTAAAACAAAAAAAAAAAATGGAAATCGTTTACCATTGCCTCGTGAAGTGCCTCAATGTCCGTCAAGCAGATAGAACGCCATATTGGCTCATCTGCAAAAATGGCCGTCGCCTCTGTGCCTGGGCAAGAGTACACTGCGAAGTCCACGAATCACGTCGCCCTTCCCCCGATATACCTTCAACTGTCTACACCTTATAGTATTAAAGAACATGTAGTATTCACCAGCGTAACTGCGTCCAATATGCAATGTTCATGACAATATGAAGTAAAGGTCTAATGAAGTATCGTTTTTTTTTTGTGTAACTTATGTAAAAACACAGATTTTATAAAATTGTACAGTGTTTTGTTTTGTTTTTCTTTTGTTATTACTTTACTCACTTTTTTTTTTTTTGCCTATTATATCTACATTTAAAAATATGCCTTTATGAATGTATTCCGTATTTTGATTTTAGTATTAAAGGATGTTGCTACAATATGTTGTTGTCACGGAATGATAGAACTGCAGTTGGGGGCGTCCTGGGATGGGGGTGCGGGGGGGGGGGGGGGGTCACGGTACTTGGAGGGTTTGACTTTATAGTAAAACCTAAAGTATTTATAGGATCTCTGATCCCTTCCCTTCTGCCGGCATCCCTGAGGGAGGGCGTTGGGGATCGGTGATCATTTGACCGATTTGATTGGCTGTCATATGATCAGGAGCCGCTCCCACCAGTTTCCGATCATTAGTCCAGACCGAGGGCTGTTTCCGACTGCGTCTGTGCCGGGAGCTGGCTATGAGCGTAGAGACGTGGGCCACCCTGTGCCCGGGAGCTGGCTATGAGCGTAGAGACGTGGGCCACCCTGTGCCCGGGAGCTGGCTATGAGCGTAGAGACGTGGGCCACCCTGTGCCCGGGAGCTGGCTATGAGCGCAGAGACGTGGGCCACCCTGTGCCGGGAGCTGGCTATGAGCGCAGAGACGTGGGCCACCCTGTGCCGGGAGCTGGCTATGAGCGCAGAGACGTGGGCCACCCTGTGCCGGGAGCTGGCTATGAGCGCAGAGACGTGGGCCACCCTGTGGCGGAAGCTGGCTATGAGCGCAGAGACGTGGGCCACCCTGTGGCGGGAGCTGGCTATGAGCGCAGAGACGTGGGCCACCCTGTGGCGGGAGCTGGCTATGAGCGCAGAGACGTGGGCCACCCTGTGGCGGGAGCTGGCTATGGGCGCAGAGACGTGGGCCACCCTGTGGCGGGAGCTGGCTATGGGCGCAGAGACGTGGGCCACCCTGTGGCGGGAGCTGGCTATGAGCGCAGAGACGTGGGCCACCCTGTGTCAGGTGCTGGCTATGAGCGCAGAGACGTGGGCCATACTGTTCCGGGAGCTATGAGCGCAGAGACGTGGGCCACCCTGTGGCGGGAGCAGGCTATGAGCGCAGAGACGTGGGCCACCCTGTGGCGGGAGCTGGCTATGAGCGCAGAGACGTGGGCCACCCTGTGGCGGGAGCTGGCTATGAGCGCAGAGACGTGGGCCACCCTGTGGCGGGAGCTGGCTATGAGCGCAGAGACGTGGGCCACCCTGTGGCGGGAGCTGGCTATGAGCGCAGAGACGTGGGCCACCCTGTGGCGGGAGCTGGCTATGAGCGCAGAGACGTGGGCCACCCTGTGGCGGGAGCTGGCTATGAGAGCAGAGACGTGGGCCACCCTGTGCCCGGGAGCTGGCTATGGGCGCAGAGACGTGGGCCACCCTGTGCCGGGAGCTGGCTATGAGCGCAGAGACGTGGGCCACCCTGTGCCGGGAGCTGGCTATGAGCGCAGAGACGTGGGCCACCCTGTGCCGGGAGCTGGCTATGAGCGCAGAGACGTGGGCCACCCTGTGCCGGGAGCTGGCTATGAGCGCAGAGACGTGGGCCAACATGTGCCGGGAGCTGGCTATGAGCGCAGAGACGTGGGCCACCCTGATGCATATGTACAATGTATAGGCATGAAAGCCCACCCTTTTGCCGCTGCGCATGTGTTACACGAGTGGAAAGATGTTAACCATTCCCGTCACCACCTACCGGCCCCTTTAAGAGGTTCTGAATGCCGGGAGGCTCAGAGGCGGGCATTCTGATCATGTGAATGCTGTGATTGGCAGTCAGTGGTCACATGACCAGAAACCTCCTGATCCCAAATATGAGATGCCACATACGTGCGTTTGACAGGCAGGAAGAGGTTAAGAAATGGTAAAGCTGGAGGGGTTTCCTGGTCATGTGATCGCTGTGATTGACAGTCCCAATAATACTGGGATCAGGAGCCCATCCTACTGGCTCCCAATCTTTGCTTGTGATGGGGAGCCATCAGTCAGGGTTGCTGTTAGAAACCGTGGGGCCTCATAAAGCCAATCTAACAGCCCCCCCCCCCAAAAAACATTTTTTTTTTTTCACAATTGTTCTGATTTAGCTGGGGGCATGCAATAGCATGAAAACAATGCTGGGGCTTGTAATTGGCTGCGCTCTCAGCGCGACACAGCGTCATATATATATATGCGGCAATACTGATTAAAGCCTGCCCTTGTGCTGCCACATCCACCATATTGCCGCAAGTATTGTCCCCGCCCCCCTGTATATACACTATATTGCCCCAAGTATTGTCCCCGCCCCCCCCCCGTATATACACTATATTGCCCCAAGTATTGTCCCCGCCCCCCCCTGTATATACACTATATTGCCCCAAGTATAGGCCCTCCAGCCTTTCCACACACATGACCTTTAATGGCCCCCCAGTCTTGGTCCGTAGGGTTCAATATTGAGTTGGCCCCGCCCTTTCCACACATGACCTTTAATGGCACCCAGTCTTAGTCCGTAGGGTTCAATATTGAGTTGGCCCCGCCCTTTCCACACACATGACCTTTAATGGCCCCCCAGTCTTAGTCCATAGGGTTCAATATAGAGTTGGCCCCGCCCTTTGCACGCACATGACCTTTAATGGCCCCCCAGTCTTAGTCCGTAGGGTTCAATATTGAGTTGGCCCTGCCCTTTCCACACACAGGCCTTTAATGGCCCCCCAGTCTTAGTCCGTGGTTTCAATATTGATTTGGGCCCGCCCTTTCCACACACATGACCTTTAATGGCCCCCCAGTCTTAGTCCGTAGGGCTCAATATTGAGTTGGCCCCGCCCTTTCCACACACATGACATTTAGTGGCCCCCCAGTCTTAGTCCGTAGGGTCCAATATTGAGTTGGCCCCACCCTTTCCACACACATGACCTTTAATGGCCCCCCAGTCTTAGTCTGTAGGGTTCAATATTGAGTTGGCCCCGCCCTTTGCAGCTATAACAGCTTCAACTCTTCTGGGAAGGCCCCCCACAAGGTTTAGGAGGGTGTCTATGGGAAGGTTGGACCATTCTTCCAGAAGCACATTTGTCAGGTCAGGCACTGATGTCGGGGAGGAGGCCTGGCTCGCAGTCTCCGCTCTAATTCATCCCAAAGGTGTTCTATGGGGTTGAGGTCAGGACTCTGTGCAGGACAGTCAAGTTCCTCACCCCAAACTGGCTCCTCCATGTCTTTATGGACCTTGCTTTGTGCCCTGGTGGGCAGTCATGTTGGAACAGGAAGGGGTCATCCCCAAACTCCTCCCACAAAGCTGGGAGCATGAAATTGTCCAAAATGTCACCTTAAGAGTTCCCTTCACTGGAACTAGGGGGCCAAGCCCAACCCCTGAAAAACAACCCCCCACCATAATCCCCCCTCCACCAAACTTTACACTTGGCACAATGCAGTCAGGCAAGTACCGTTCTCCTGGCCACCGCCAAACCCAGACACGTCCATCGGATGGCCAGACCACGGTAAGTTAAAATACCATTCCTTTATTCTATGTTTGTATTCTGATACTCTACACCTGTAGTCGCTAAATGGCGGACCGCGGTCTGAGAACGGCCCGAGCAGCGGTCCCGTCCGGACCGCCAGCCCACCAGACTACCACAGGTCCGCTTAGCAGGGCGGTCACCCCAGCAACCGATGACATCTCTCATACGCCCCGCCCCTTGCAGCTTGCTGTCTGTCCCGCTTCCGCTCCCTACCTGTCCACAAGAGCGCACCCCGCCCCCTTCAAAAGGACCCCGGCAAGCTCCTGCATCTGTCTGCCCTCGAGGTAGGGGGTGTTCTTTCTGGGGGGCCTTGATGGCCACATTTAATGTTAG